TCCATGGTGCTTGACATCTTGGCCGATCCTGGCCAAGCCACCCATACTGGGTAGGCCTTTCGTTTGAAGTGGTCAGCAGTTTAATGCTAAATTTCAAGATGGCGGTCAATTCCAGGGCTGCATCAAACTGTAACATTAATCAGAGGGCTGGCAAGCTCAAAATAAATAAAGCTATGTACATCTAAATGATTCATCATGTTGATAACGTATTTTATTTGGCCAATACATGATTTTTAGGGGTACTCCATTTTAGGTACTCCATAGGGTACTCCATGGATTAGGGCTCCATGTTTTGTCATCTCCCAATTTCACACTACTTTTATAATGCAGTCCCATCCCCCCCAGCTTTTGTAAAGTGCTGTGTTTCACCAGTGGGGCATTTGTCATCAAAGGTCTGCCCGAGGGTGGGGAGTTTGTCATTTATGAATTTCTTGTTTTCTGCTACTTTAAATAGGGAAAATTAAAATACAATATAATTAAGATTCAGTATCTCAGAGCTCTGTGTTCTATTGAAGTATTATTGCCTTTACTGAACACTAACCAGACAACGGTGATTTTACCTGAGGAAGGGGCATTTGCACACGTATTTATGCCCTACAATTAGGTTTTTGCATTAATGATACATCTGGTAGTTAATGCAATATTGTCAGCAAAGCTATTATCCTTTAATTTTCATTAAAACACTGCTCTCACTACAGTAAGATTGACATGGCAATAGTTCAGAATGGCTCTAAAAACTGCATGTAAAGCCATAGCAGCATACAGTAGCCATAGTATGCATGTATGCTGTGAGCAGTTGGCTTCTCATCAATGTTAATTTAAAGTTTAGGACTGCAAAGAAATGCCATTAGTTAAACGATTTTGATTAAGGTTAACAATACAAGCCATGATATTGCTAGTTTTTATTAACTCAAACCTTTGCTGCTACATACTTCATTCATATTACCTTTTTTTTTTGCCATAATTATACAAGAGTTTACAGGGTATGGTTTTCTGCTCTGGCCCCTTGAGGCTTAGTTATTAATTTATTATTTATTTATTTATTTTGGAACAGGGAGTCAAATTTACACTTTCACTTTATACCCATGAACACAGTCACTCAGTTGAGATATTGTTACAAATTATAATATTTGTATTAACTAACATGGGAGACATACATACATGTATAAGACAAAAGGGCTGATAGACAGTTCTATGACTTATCAAATAAAGCTTGAAATAATGTAGAATCTACAAATTGACTATGACACTGACTGATTAGGAGGAGCACCATTTGTTAATGGCTTGGTCAATTAATTTCAACCATGCCCATTCTCTCTTGCTCCTGGGTATTTGTCGGGGGTTTATTCTTTTTTCTTCAGAAAGGTGCAAATGTCCAATGGTGGGGGAAGCAGATTTGTATATGTAATATAGGACTGCATGCTGACCACTTTAGAAATGAGGTCTATTCTTATGGTGCCAACTTATTCTTTACAAGGCACAAACCTGATACAGTCTTGCTCTTTCACACTTTGGCATTTTTTAGTCAAGTATAAACTTAAATTAAAAGAAAAGCCTTCGATGATATGGTGCTGCAGGTGAAAACCGCCATTTGAAGTACAAAGAAGACAATATGAAAATGCAAAGAATTGCTTGAAACACAAAAATTATTGAAAATAAACATTTCATCATCACCTCAAACAATTTCTGCAGTCTTTGTCTGCAACTGGGTAAAAAGATGTTTGTTTTGAATGCCAACATCTAAACACAATTAACCTAACAACATACTAAAGGAATATAAACTATACACAGCTGCAACTCCAGAAGGCTGGTGGGGAAATGTAAATATGGGTCCATAGTAGAGCAGACACACATGTATTATTTGTATGTGTAATCAAATGGTGACAAGTGAAATTTGGGAATAATTTCACGCGTCTTTTGTCCAAATCCTAATAATTTCCAAGGCTTGGGAAATTATTAGGATTTGGACAAAACGCAATACCATTTGATTACTTATTAATATCATGGTTGACAAATTATGTTAGCAATCTTGGATTTTTGACATGTTTATCCTGGATCATAATCGATCGAGAACTCCCCTCTCACAAATGTCCTTAAATTTGGCTTATAAAGTTCAGAATTTTTCAGACTTTTTCGGCAAAATACCTGTCAGAATCCTTCTTGATGTTATTTTCTTGTGTGTTCAGGTTTTCTAAAGCGTGTTTTTGTGCCCTGACATCTTCATTCACGGCATTTTAAGGCTTCATCGCCATCCTGACACTGAGACGTAGAGAAGGGTTGCCATGGCAATTTTGCAATTTCACATGTGAAATTACAAATAAACGCTGAAATTTCACACCAAAATTAAGGAGTAATTCGTCGCCTATGATATTATTAGTATAATTCCTTTTGGTAAAGCCTAATGTAATTTTACTAGATGTTCCATGACTGCAAAATTGTGATTCACCTTTATAAATTATTGAAAGTATATTGCACTATAGCCTGCCCAAGGCCCTGTACCTAGAATATGATTTAGACAAGAATTACCATTGGAACTAGATTAGAAATACAGGTATCCTGTCAAAGGAAACATCCTGGGCAAAATGACTGCACCAACTGTGATGATAAATTGAAGCTGAACAAAAGAGCATATCAAAGTGCTAATTTGAGCACAGAATATTATTTTCTTTTGTAGCAACAAGGAGGGGAATTTTTTGTCAGTCACTTTTATATTAGACAGATATCAACACCAACAAAATACTACATACCCAAACCTCTACATTTTCATTCAGTTTGAACACAGTAATTTTTTGTTGAAATGTGCAGAAATAGAGAAAAGCTGAACCCAAAACTTATAATTAAGTGACCACTGAAAGATCTGTTTCACACCTGAGATGGTTGCATTACTGACATACAAAGTAAATGGACTCACCTTAGCAAATTCCTGGCCACGTCGCCCATAATGAAAGCCCTGTACATAGAGCAGATACCCTAACTCTATACTTGTGACTAAGGGATTTAACTACTTGTATATATGATTGCCAATGCTTTTTTTGTCATCTGCATAAAACAATTTTTAGTCAAAGGGGTTGGACATAAATATCACCTGCATGTAGATTGTATTTCACCTAGATTGTATTTCAAATACAACCTGAGTACTTTTACATTTCCCGCCTACCTTTATTTTGCGCTTGTTGTGTTTTTACAGGGTTGCTTTTATTACTAAAACAATATTGAATTGGAATTTGGACCAAATTTCCATTAATTTTGTGTCAGTTTGTTACAACAACAGAGGTTCCCTTTTACACCAATTAAGAGCTCTTTAACATCTTCTCTGCTGTTATTGTTAAACATTTGTAGTCAGTATTTTTCTTCTCTCTGACTTAGAGCCCACAGGCCAGATAATGTTGGAAAACAGTGCAATCTAGTTATCTGCTACCAGATAACTGACTAATCTGTAGGTTGTGAGCGCAATGCAGGATTTCCAACAGCAATGCTAGACTATGTTCTGTGCGATGGTGTGTTTGGGTGTTATTTCCTTAAAAACAATTTATGATAAAAAAATTATAAGTTCAGTTTTTTGTGATATCTGGAATAATCAAAGTTTTGGTAATGTCAGTTTTGGGGTAACAGTTACTTTGACTTTGATTATTCAGGATATCACAAAAACCACATCCAGAGGAATTGTTTAATATCACACCTGAGATTTACGGGTCATCAGGTCTATACTTTTATTGTGGAAGTATGATAAGTGCTCTCATGGTAACACATCCAAATTTAGTCTGGAGCTGTGTAGGTTTATCCCTAATGATGTCATCACATTGTTTTCTTAGAAAAAAATCTTTGCTTAACATTGTCCCTCTCCACATAGAGATTCAGCAACATACATTTTGTACTGCCGGGTAAAACCCCAGCATGATTATACTCGTTAATTAACAATTATTGGATGAGGTTTTTGTGATAACCAGAATAATCAAGGTTGAGGTAAGGGTTCAGAAAGACATGATTTGTAAGGAATCTCCCCCCCCCCCCCCTCCCCCCCCCCCCAGCTCCTTATGCTTAATTAATTACCACAGGTGGTTTATAATGATATGAAGTCGAGGATGAATAAGGAATTATAGAGCCAAAAAATCAAACGCGTATTAGACCAAATAGGGCTGGGATACCTCTGGACAAAAGCTATCAAACAAAGACTGAAAGACATCGAACAACAAAGATGGTTAAGTGACGTAAACAATGACGTAAGAAAAGACGCCAACCAAAAGAACAAACTAAGAACCTTCCAAAAATTTAAAACAATAGAAAATTTTAAATGTGAAGATTATCTCCGTCAGGTCGCCAACATCCGACACCGGATAACTCTAACTAAACTCCGTCTAAGTAATCACAAATTGGCGATAGAGACAGGTCGTTATGTAAGACCTTATGAGAAACCGGAAGAGAGGATCTGTCCTATCTGTAAAAGAGACGTAGAAGATGAAATACACTTTTTAACCCTGTGCCCTGCGTATCAAGAAAAAAGAAGTACTTTATTTGAATACTTAAACAAAGAATACAGAATAGCAGTAAACAGAATGGCACCAGATGATGTTTTTCTGTTGTTAACAAACCCTCCGAGCAAGAACAAACCAGTGCAAAAGTTAATTGCAAAATACGTATTCGACTGCTACGAGGAAAGAAGATCATTAGTTCTTTAGGTTACCATTGATTATAGTTCCACTAGTGCGCAATTTGTGTTATGATTTTAAATTATTTGGATAAAGTCGATATACATAGGACTGTATAAGACTCCAAATAAGGCATTGTCTTGTCTTGTCTTGTCTAAATAATTTACTTGTTAGTTTATCAGTTTAATCATTTCTGCTCACGGTGTTTGTTAATTATGGGAATGGTGTGTTGCCTTTGAAAAGAACCTGTTAGAACTTTTAAGCATTTTTGAATTTTGACGTTTAGCACCCTAAGGGAGTGAGTGTAGTAACATCCTGATATTATATCTTTCTTGATGTGATAGGTTTTCGACCATGTATAGAGGAAGTTTGGCACGTCTTGTTAGAAGCGTATCACCTTACGTTATCAGAAGACAACACGTGATCCCGTGTCATCTTGGCAGGGCCTATGTATTTCGGCCTATACCTTCCTTAAGAGTTCCGAGACATTTTTCCTGCGACACTGCTAGTCAAGATGGTATTGTCTCGGCACAAGCGGCAGAAGCTAATTCCACTGGTAACAGACAAGAGACAATACTAAGTAAGATCCTTTCAATGGAGAAAGCCTTAGAGCTGCTTCAAGCCTACAATACTTACAAAGATGCGGGCGATATCATGACTCAAGCAAGTAGAATTGCAGTCCTGCGCTGTATTGCATATATTGTACAGAGGGATGGTGCACAGAGGTTTGCTCTAAAAGCAGAAATTGATAAAGAATCGCAAGGAAATGAGAGTATGTTTTTGGACTTGCTCGATAACATTTCGGAGTGTATTTCCGAATCTGGTAATAGTGACCTAGCAAGTATCATATGGTCTCTTGGTAAAATTGGACCAATTGCTGTTGGGTTTGAAAACCACTCCGTAGCGCAAGTTTGCGAGCAAGAGATTCTGTCCAGAGAAATTACTTCTTTCAGCACCAAGGATATAAACAAGATTTTGTCTGGACTCGCTTCCCTTGTCATGAGAAAAAGCAAGGTTTTTGACGAAGTGGAAGGGGCAATTGTTTCCGGAAGAATACAGATCTCAAGTTTTGAGAATCAAGGTCTGGTTGGCAGTCTGAGGTCTTTTTCTCAAACAGGAAATGGTTCCCTTATCTTGTTTGAACTTTATTGCAAGGATGTGTACTTCAGAGGCATGGAGACATTTAAACCTTTTGAGCTTTTTCAGCTGGTTTCATTATTTGCCAAGAAAGGTGTTAAGGCTGACGAACTGTTTTCACACACAGAGCAGAAGGTGATAAGGATGGGAATTGAAAGCCTTAGTAACACTGATATTTTCTTGATACTTTGGACATTTGCCCACAAAAAATCGGACAGACTTCATGACCAAGTTTTTAGTCATATGGACCAAGAATTTGTCAATCATGGCATGAGGCGGTTTTTGCCTTTTTTACTTTCAAACATTCTTTGGTGTTTTGCGAAGGCAGGGAAGCATAATGCAAAAGCGTTTGATCTCNTTTGCCAAGAAAGGTGTTAAGGCTGACGAACTGTTTTCACACACAGAGCAGAAGGTGATAAGGATGGGAATTGAAAGCCTTAGTAACACTGATATTTTCTTGATACTTTGGACATTTGCCCACAAAAAATCGGACAGACTTCATGACCAAGTTTTTAGTCATATGGACCAAGAATTTGTCAATCATGGCATGAGGCGGTTTTTGCCTTTTTTACTTTCAAACATTCTTTGGTGTTTTGCGAAGGCAGGGAAGCATAATGCAAAAGCGTTTGATCTCATAAACCAGGAACTCGTTCTGCGTGATCTAAGCACCTTCCGCAAGTACTTTTCTCAAATTTTGTGGTCATTTGCTGTTGCGGAAAAAGACTATGCTGAACTTTATGAGAAAATCGTTGAAGAATTCTTGTGCATGGACTTGGAAAGCATTGGTAACAAGGATTTGTGTCAATATGCGTGGAGCTTTGGAAAACTTGGAATCACGAATGAGAACATCTATAGGAAAATTGAAAAAGAAATTTTTAGCCGTGATCCCTCTACCCTCAAGTATCTCGATATACAGAGGCTTCTGACTGGGTTTGCTCATGCCAAGGAAGGGAGTGGAGAGTTGTTCGAGTACTTAGAAGATGCGATTATGGCCCTTAACGTCTCGTCCCTCAAGGCTGCAGAAATTTGTAATGTACTTTGGCCATTTGCTGAAATGGGATATAAAACCCAGCATCTATTTGATGCTGCTGAGCAAGAAATCCTTCGTCGAGGTAAACTGCACTTTAAGGAAGGCCAGCTTGCAAGATTGAAAACCAGTTTTGAGGCTTTTGGACAGGGGTCACAAGAGTTGGTAAACTTGTTTAATCGTAGATAAAAAGTTTGTTAAGCAGTGTTCTTAAACACTTGCAATTTTAGAGTAGAAGTATCGCAAAGATTTTTCGCTGTTTTTGAGACATCTTCACAGATATCGCTTTGAAACTTGATCGGACGTTTTCATGTTGTAATGCACGTACTTCCTACCTTGATTTCATTCCTAGTGAGAATGTGCGCGACCAAAGCAAATTCGCAAACTGCGAAGCAGATGAATGAAGAGGTCTGTCTAAAATTATTTTAGCAGCCTTATTCTAGAAGACTTGCAAACTGGACATTATGGGTACATTCTGCTTGTCTCCCCAAACAAGTAAAGGTCTGCACAATCAAATAAAGGCATGACAAGGCTATTATAAAAAAGAAGGCGTGCACTAAAAGGTAATGAATGCTTAATGCGATTAAGGAGACCAAGCCTTTCATTAATTTTGCCACCAATATATTCAACATTATTGGTCCATGTAAAGTCAGTTGATATAAAAATTCCAAGGTATTTGAAGCCGTTGACATCATTTACTTTGTGGTCAAAGATTGATACTTTTAGAGCCACTTTGCTCTCCAAATTCCTATTACTACCTATAAGCATACATTTGGTTTTCTCATGATTCAAAGTTAGCTTGTGATCGTTTAGCCATTTCGCTACCGCCAGCAAGTCGCGATTTAGCTTATCACTCAGCTCCTAGGAGGACTGAACCATAACAGTAAATCACAGTGTCGTCTGCATAGAGGGACGCACAGCAGCATTCCAGAATGCTCGGCAGATCGCTGATATAAGTAACGAACAACAAGGGGCCTAATAATGCTACCCTGAGGCACCCCGTGAGTTACTGGCAACTCGTTTGACATTTCATTCCCACAGGATGTACGCTGTTTTCGGTCAATGATATAGAAACGAAACCATTGAATCGAATTTCCAGATAAACCATACGCCGATAGCTTAGACAATAAGATCTGATGATCTACCGTATCAAAAGTTTTTGTTAGGTCCAAAAACACGGCTCCACATCTTCTACCCTGTTCTATGTTCACAAGGACTTAGTCGGCAAAGGATGTCAGAGCAGATACAGTGGACAGTCCCTTCCGGAATCCAACTGTTTCTCTTGAGAGGAGGTTATTGGTAACCAGGAACTTGACTGTATAACTGTGTATTTACAGCTTTGTCGAG